TAGAATGGAAGACATATTACAGAAATAGAGATGATTTTGATTGGTTTTAGCACTGAAAATGGCTTGAAATGAGCTCAAAGTAGCAGAAATGTTAAATTTTTGCCGATGTTCAAGAGTAAACAAACGACCTCACACGTCTAATACACGCCAACTGGTGGGTCTAATATACATTCACAAATGTGGTGATGATATTTATACAATTATTACAATATTGCATAACAGTAAATCTTCTATTTTTGGGTTTGAATAAAAATTCATTATGTGAATAAAAAATCAAAATGGAATTCATTTGTAAAGCCTCAAAACGTAACTAAAGAACAGGAAATGTTAGTTTAGTGCCAGGAATACCTACATTGTTTATTCTGGACCCTATTTTGAAATTGGAATATTTTGAACTTTGTGTTAAATTGGTAAAATTACCAATTTCCGATCACTTTATTTTGTAGTTGAAACAGTTGACTTGGTGATTTCTTGTGCTCAATCGATAGAATAGAAGTAATACTAGTGAAATAGCTAAGAATTTGGTCGACTGGAATAATATAATTGGCCTAAAATGGGAGTCAAAGTCGGCAAAATTGCCTATTCGTAAATATCGCCAACACATCAAAATTCGCGAGAGCATAATTTCGTCAATTTCCCATCATTTTTCATACTTTTTGTTTTATTACCTTCAGAAAAAGATTCTCTACCATTTCATAAGAAAAAATAACAAAAATTTTTTTTGAAAATTTTTGGACCCTGGTGTGCAGTTTGAAATTTGGCCTCTGGACCCTGAAAGGGTTAAAATTAATGATTTACATTTATTTCTCATTGTTTTCTGTATGTAAAACTATAGTTATTCTCCATAAAATGTATTTTTTGTTAATATTTTTGGGTGTCTGGAATGGATTAATTGGATTTACATTATTTCTTATGGGAAATATTGCTTTAGTTTTCATCGAATTTGTGTTTTCGTCATACTCTCTGGAACAAATTAAAAATGAAAACTGAGGTTTCACTGTACAGTGGACCCTCAACCAACGGCATTAATTTTCCCCATAAGAAATAATGGAAATAGAATTAATCCGTCCCTGACACCCCGAAGTCTGAAAAAAAAAAAAAATTTACGTGAAATATACATTTCCTTATACCAAAATGAATGGGACATGCAAAATAAACAATAATTAAATGCCACTTACCTTTATTGTGGAGTTGTTGATGAGTGATGTGCCAGCAGCAGGAGAGATTCAGGATTGTCTATTGCTTGGAAGGAGAATTCCCTTCCATAAAGACTTCAGGTACCAAGTCCTTTGGTGGGGTTACCTCCCTTCTTGGTTTTTTAATGCCGCTAGGACCAGCTTGAGAGTCACTGGACCCCTGTCGTACAAAATCTGTCCAGAGAGCTTTGTTTCTCACGTGCCCTTAGGATTTCCCTAAAATGGGACACAAGAGTGTCATTGAACATGTTGCCAATGCGGCTTGCAACTTCTGTGACAGGATAAAATTCATCGATAAATGCTTGCACCTTTGTAAACATTGAACACATTTCCCTAATCCTTGACGAAGTCAACTTCCTCCGTCTCTCTTCATCCTGCTCTGAAGAACATTCCTAAGATGTGATCTGTTGCTGTTGCACCTGAAGCTCTTGCAGGTCTGCAGTGGTTAATTCTTCCTCATTATTCTGCACCAACTCTTCCACATCCTCGTCACAAACCTCCAACCCCAAGGACTTCCCCAATGACACAATAGCTTCCACTACCAGCATAGCCTCCTGAGGGTTAGCCCCAAACCCTTCAAAATCCCTTTGTTCTACACATTCTGGCCACAGTTTCCTCCAAGCCGAGTTCAAGGTCCTCTTAGTCACTCCCTCCCAAGCCTTACCTATTAGGTTTACACAACTGAGGATATTGAAGTGATCTTTACAAAACTCTCTTGGGGTCAACTGAGTGTCTGAGGTCACTTCACAGCACTTTTGAAACACTGCTTTTGTGTAGTTTTTTGAAGTTTGAAATGACCTGCTCGTCCATGGGCTGGAGGAGAGGAGTTGTTTTAGGAGGCAAAAACTTTACCTTAACGAAACCAAACTCCCCTGCAATTTCCTCTTGCAAGTCGTGAGGATGAGCAGGAACACTGTCCATTACCAGGAGGCACTTGAGTGACAATTTCTTTTCCTGGAGGTAATTTTTCACAGTGCGGTCAAACACACCATAAGACCAGTCCAAGTAAAATTCCCTAGTGACCCATGCCTTACTGTTTGATCTCCACGGCACAAACAAATTACCCTTGACAATATTGTTTTTCTTGAACACTCTGGGAGTATCAAAGTGATACACCAATAAAGGCTTCACTTTGCAATCACCACTAGCATCACTACACAACATTAATGTCAGCCTGTCTTTCATAGGCTTATGTCCTGGGAGTGCCTTTTCCTCCTGAGTAATGTAGGTCCTGTTTGGCATTTTCTTCCAAAACAGGCCTGTTTAATCACAATTAAACACTTGTTCAGGTTTTAAGTTTTAGTTTTTATGTATTCCTTAAAGTCCTTCACATATTTTTCAGCCGCAGTTTTGTCTGAACTGGCAGCCTCACCATGCCTTACCACACTGTGTATGCCACTACGAATCTTAAATCTCTCAAACCAGCCTTTGCTGGCCTTAAATTCATCAGCAGCAGCACTATTTTGAGGCATTTTCTTAATGAGATCGTCATGCAACTTCCTTTCCTCTTCACAAATTATAGACTGAGAGACACTATCACCCGATAATTGTTTTTCGTTTATCCATACCAGTAACAGCCTCTCTACCTCTTCAATTACTTGCAGTCCATTTTGAAAACACACTTGAACCTTTCGCAACAACAGCTTCCTTGATTGCCTGTCTGTTCGTCAAGATAGTACTGATGGTTGAATGTAATTTTTTGTATTGCCTTTCCAACTCAGCCATACGGACTCCACTCTCGTATTTTTCAATGATCTCCTTCTTCATTTCCATCGTAATTCTCACCCTTTTTAACACAGGTTTGGCACTAGAAGCTTTCTTGGGGCCCATGTTGGCTTATTTAGTGGTTACAAGCACTTAAAACAGTGGAATAATCCAAAATGTATGGGGGGCACACATGGAAACCGACCGCAACAGCTTGTAAACAATGGCACACTGAGTCTTGGAGTGGCTGGGCCCGCTCAGGCCGTGCTCCCAGCACATGGACATGTTCCAGACGAACATTGTTGGTAGAGTTTTTCGCCATTGTTAGACTTTTTTTTACAGCAAAAAGCTCCATTAGACGAAATTGCCGTTACTTAATGCCACCATTAGTTGAGGGTCCACTGTATATGTTTTGTTAACAATAACAGGTGTCCCTTGGTTCATTCAGTAAACACATTCCAGGCAGATGGCAGCTATATTAACCCTTTCACTGTCAGTGATGTAAGGCACGGCTTACAAGCCAGTGTCAGTGACGTATTAACCCTTAAACTGTCCAAATGTAGATCTACGTTTGCGCACGTAGTGTTCCAACCTCGATTTTCTCCATAAGAAAGCATGTAAAAAAAAGTAGATCTACGTTTGGAGCACTATGCAAGGAAACGTAGATCTATGTTCGGACAGTTTAAGGATTAATATGCCAAAATTCTAGCAGCTTCATATCTAGCAGAAGGTTGGTAGACCTACATGTGAGAGAATGAGTTTTTGTGATCAGTGTGTGCAGTATAAAAAAAATCCTGCAGCACACAGTGCATAATGAGAAAAAAAAACTCCAATGTTTTTGGTTTAAAATGCCAACTCTGAGGTGTATTTATGGTTGTATTCTCGTTTTCTTGGTCTTATTTGATAGAATGGAAGATATGTTACAGAAATAGAGATGATTCTGATTGGTTTCATGATGAAAAGTACCTTGAAATTGAGCTCAAAGTAGCGGAAATATTTGATTTTTGCCAATGTTCAAGAGTAAACAAATGATGTCACTGTCCAATATGTGTCCAACTGGCCACTCTAATACGCAGTCACGAATGTGCTGACATTATTTATACAATTATTTCAATAATGCAGCAGTCTGCATAACAGTAAATCTTCTATTTTTTGTGTGAATAAAAATTCAAAATGAAAAGCAAGAGTAATATAAGAGGGGCCTGGAGATGTGACTAATGAACAGAGAAAATGTTATTTTAGTGACAGGAATGTCTGCAGTGTTTATTCTGGACCCTATTTTGAAACTGGCATCTTTTGAAATTTGTGTGAAATTGGCCAAATTGCCAATTTCTGACCACTTTATTGGGTAGTTGAAATCAGTAAATGGGCGGTTTCTTGTACTCAGTCGATAGAACAAATGGAGTTCTAGCGAAATAGCTACGAGTCTGGTCGACTGGAACAATGGAATTAGCCAAAAATAGGGCTCAAAGTGGGCGAAATAGCCAGTGTATATATCGCTGAGACCGCTAACTTCACGACAGCGTAATTCCGTAAGTTTTCCATCAACTTTCATACTTTTGGTGTCATTACCATCAGGAAAAAATTCTCTATCATTTCATATAAAAAAAAAAATTCTGAGAATTCTTCGACACTAAGAGCAAGTTTGTGAGTAGGGGTCTTGACAGTGAAAGGGTTAATCTTAATCAGGCCATCAAGACTTAATTCCATATAATAAGAATTGACAGTATTCTTTATGAACCGCACACGTCACATGCACTAAATACATATCACCTGCATGGAATTACTAATAGAAATGGGACATCGCATATTGGTAATAGCGAATTTCCATAAAAAGAGAGAATCCTATATACATAGGCATCCTGTAAGTAATACACAATTTTGTTCATATGTGACTGAATAGTAAAAGACCCCTTATTATCTGGCTATATGCACAAGTATCATTATAAATCATACCTGTGGCATACATGTAACCAGTTTTGCCAGTGGCCAGACTTCCTTGGAGTCATATCAAACTTTTACGTTAATTTCTGCATTTAGCTTTTCTTAAGTCATAAAGTATTGAAAATAATTTTGTTGTCAAGGCCGAATTTTACTTACAGGACTTAGAGTGATGTTACTGCTTCCCACAAGAGTTTTGAACTGCATAGCAGATGCAGTTGGTGATCCTTTGGGTTTACACTGAAATAAAGTGATTTTGTAAATAATGCTATTTGATGCGTAATTAAAAGGATTACTACAAGACTAAATGAATTTCTGAATACAGTGGAACCTCTACTTGCGAGCGCATCCACGTGCGGGTTTTTCTAAATACGAGCAGTCGATGGGTCGATTTTTTGCTTCCATAAGCGAGCAGACCTCAGGGCAGGTTCCTTGACGCTGGTGAGGGGCTCTTGCTCTTGATCTAGGGAATTATATCTCATTTGTTTGTTGGACTATCTTATTGAAACTTGGGCAATGTATGATGGAAAGATGTTTCTTAACTTACACCAAAATTGAAAGAAATTGGAGCATAAATAATGGAGTTCACTTCTCAGCAATTAGCCACCCCTTAGCAGTATTTTTGTATGGTTTTTATGGTTTTATTCTCGTTTTTTTGGTCTCATTTGATAGAATGGAAGATATATTACAGAAATAGATATGATTTTGATTGCTTTCACGACGAAAAGTACCTTGAAATTGAGCTCAACGTAGGAGAAATGTTCCATTGCTTGGCTATGTTCAAGAGTAAACAAATAACGTCACTGTCCATTCCAATATGCAGTAGTGAATGGGTTGACATTATTTATACAATTATTGCAATAAGGCATAACAGTAAATATTATTATACGTATTATTATTATTATACATATTATTATTATTATTATTATTACAATGTATATAATTTGTAATTTTTATTCACACAAAAAATATAATATTTACTGTTATGCCTTATTGCAATAATTGTATAAATAATGTCAACCCATTCACTACTGCATATTGGAATGGACAGTGACATCATTTGTTTACTCTTGAATAGTAAAATAATATAATACAATAATAATAATAATATACGTATAATAATAATACATACATGTATATTATAATAATGTACTACATAATAATAATTATAATAATAGACGGCTTCAAAAGGCCATCACTAGATGGCAGTGTTTACCACAACAAAGAGGAAGCGGTTGTGGCCGCCTCCACCTGTTACATAATGACATACTTTATTCATTCTAGAGTATATATCAGGTTTTTATGTTATTTATATTGTTTATTATTTCATATTAGATGAACTGTGATAGATAAATAAGCCGTAGAGTTGATGATAGCGAAATATTCAAGGAGTATTTTGTCCTGTCTCCAGACAAACTCTCGTCGGCTGCCGCCACATATATAATGACATATTTTATTCATTCTAGAGTATATATCAGGTTTCTATGTTATTTATATTGTTTGTTATGTCATATTAGATGAACTGTGATAGATAAATAAGCTGTGTAGATGATATTAGCGAAATTATTCAAGAAGTATTTTGCCCGGTTTCCAGACAAACTCTCGTCCACCGCTGACACCGCCCATATCACTACATGAATTACACATTTTATTAATTTTAGAGCATATATCACGTTTCTATGTTATTTCTATTGTTTATTATGTCACATTAGATGAAGTGAGATAGATAAATAAGCAGTAGAGTTGATATTAGCGAAATTATTGAAGTACAGAATTCCACTGGAACAGATTAATTGCATTTCAATTAATTTAAATGAGGAAAATTGAATCTGCAAACGAGCAAATCCAGTTGCGAGCAAGGTCGTGGAACGGATTAAACTCGCAAGTAGAGGTTCCACTGTATCAGTAAATCTAGTCGAAATAAACAATTCTCAAATAAATTTCTTCAAGGTCCCATATGGATATGGATGCCACATAGATGCCAACATTTTTAAGAGAGCATTTTCATGAGTTTCAGTAACTACTGTACCTGTAATTTTGTTTTTGCTCACTAAAACCATTCACAGTACAGTGTATTACCCCATAAATTAATCTGCACCAACATTTAATGCAGATTTGAACAAAATCATTACAGAGAAAAGATTGACGATATTTAAAACCTTAAACATATTAAGTTTAAAATGTATTGTTTATATGCTTACATCATTACTCACTGGACTAAAATGAATAGCCTTTTCCTCAGCTATAGGGGAGCCAATACTAGGGTATTCTTTTTTGTCTTTATCCCTAGCCTTTTTTTGTTCACGTTTGACTTGGCACTGAGACTCTGGTACTACACCTGAAAAAACAAAATAGTCAAAATTAATATTACATGAACAGAGAACAGGATTTAGGCAAATCAAAAGTCATACTGTAAGGTATTTACTACTGCATATAACTCGCATAGTCTGGTTGAGACAGTAAATCCCAGTGGATCTTAATCTAGACTAGTATTTCTTGGCCAATCTGCCAAACTGTTCATTAGTCAATTAAGAAATGTCTTATTCACATCTAGTATGGGGGACATGGTCCACTATTTGAGAAAAGCTGGTCTAGGTCATGTGTACACTACTAAGCTACTGCTATTTGCAGTGAGATTATACACTATAAAAATATATGGGCTGGCACACTATTGTATAGACAGATTCTACTCAGGTAGTATAGTACTGTAGATCTGTAATTTTAGTATTACAAGTAAAGTACAGTGCTTAGGCACATTGCTCATATTACATCTCCAGTGTATTATATCAATTATGTGCCATCTTTATTACTTTTCTTCTATATTAATGTACAGTGGTTTCCTTCTTTTCATAGATTATTTATGGCAATATCTTCCTACAAAACTTTTCTTTACTTTCTGGACAATTGTCTCCTCATCCCAAGAAAGTGGGACAAAATATAATGTTGATGGGAGATGTTAGTATGCTAGAGCATTTTTTCAATTTAAGTGGAGATTTATCTAAAAAGTTATATCACTCTGAATGAATTATGTTGTAAATTACAAAATTTAGTATTAAATGTCAACCATTTAGTACAAAATAAATCAGTAAGCTATCTTACAATTACTGTACAAAAAAATCTATAACATCTAATAGAAGCTTTTAATGCATACAATAAGACTTTTTCGGGCCACCCTGCCTTGGTGGGAATCGGCCAGTGTGATAATAAAAAAAAGACTTGTTCCAGTATATAAGATCAAGATACCTAAGTTTAGACAGAGTACCTGCTACTTTATCTTCTGTATGTGATTTTCATCAATAATAAATATTTTACATAATATCTAATTAGACCTCAATGAATTGGCACATCTATTTTACACTGATGGATAACTAAGAGTCTAAGAATGAAAACAAAATAAATTACTGGTAACTCATTTCAACTACCATTCTTCATTGTGAATTTTCCTCTCAGCAATATCTAAAATTTGACTCACCTATGACTTAATTATTAAAAAAAAATTACAGAATTTCTTTTCTGAAACTTTGCAAGTTACCTGAATTTTACATATATGTAAAAGGTTTTAACTTTATTTTGATAAATTAGACACATATGCAACTCTTGGGTATCTTTATTGAGGATAAAGATATCCAAGAGTTGCATATGTGTCTAATTTATCAACATGTCGGTTCTCTGAACCACTGGAAAGAGATACTTCATCTCCACAGAACATGACCTTAAAACATTCCTAAGTGAGGCTGGACTAACAGAATCAGAGTAAAGTGCAGATAATACCCATAGTCCACCGTTAGTGTTATATTGTCATAAATTTGTGCCCCCCTAAAATTCTAATACTCCAACTACTTTTAATTGTCATTGTTGTACTCAACGACCATTCTACCTCATAGTCTTAATTGTATTAAATATCTACAGAATCTATCTCCTTTTTTACAACTTACCACATCACTGTTCCATCTTATTTTTTTATAAACTAACCAAAACTTGTCTTCAAAAATTTTCTACTTCACTTTAAAAAATACTCAATTGCCCAATTTTATTCTAAATCCCTATTATTGCCCAATTTTACTTAAACTATATTGATCAAACTTATTGAAAACTTCTTTTATTGACCATTTTATTCCATACTTTTTTAAATAGTATTTTCAACTACAACTTTTATTCATCCTGTCTACCATCTTACTACATATTATAACCAAGTCATTGCCATTTTTATTTTTATCAATTTTTTTTTTTTTTATTATTTTTTGCTACCTTAATTTGTGTATTTTATCCTGTCAATTTAAATCTAATTATACTCTAATTCTTGTAAACAACTTATATAAGACCTTAGTGCAATTACAATTGAGAGTCTTGTTCCTTTATTATATTATTAGATTAATCACAGTTTTACTCTAGCTCATTCTAGCTCAATACATAGTCAATACCAAATTCACTATACTAGCCCATAGTGCAATTATAGTGAGAGACTGGTGCTTTTTGTAATTTGTATTTTTATATTTTTAGACTAAAGTTGTTGTACTATAGCTCTTTCTAGCTCAATTTACATAGCCCAATACCAAATTCACTATATTAGACCATAGTGCAATTACTAGTGAGAGACTGGTGCTACTTTTAATTTGTATTTTTATATTATTAGATTAAATTCGTGTTACCATAGCTCATTCTCCCTTTCAAGACATAGTCAATCCCAAAATTCACTATATTAGACCATAGTGCAATACTAGTGAGAGACTAGTGCTATTTTTAATTTGTACTTTTATATTATTAGATTAAACCTATTGTACTTTAGCTCACTCTAGCTCAAAACATAGACTCCACAAAATCATTATTAGACCTTAGTGCAATTACAAGTGAGAGTCCTTGTTCTATTTTTAATTTGTATTTTTAATTACTAGTTTTTTACCTAGTTGTACTTTAGTTCAATCCAGCAAAACACACAGACAACATCAACTTCATTAGTGTATATTTGACTATACCCTACATGACCAAAATACTCTAGCTATATACTTGTCCAAACTTCCAACCACTACAGATATCAGTAGTAAACTCAACACACAAACTCAGGATATAAATAACCATAATTTTAAACCTAGAAGATGATTGATCACGTTGACCCTGTCTAAACCTCCAAAAACCTGACACCCAATCAAAACCTATTGGAAAGTAACTGCCTTTATTACACAGCATCACAAGCCCCCCACTATCCTAAACAATGCTAAAAGTCTATCAGTACTTAACTACAACATCAGGTCCTTAAGCAAACACAAAGTGACCTCCTAGCACTCCTTGAATCACTAAAGACACCCTTCTCCTGCTTTTATTCTTACTGAGACCTGGCTTAAGCAAGGACCAATAGATATCTACCCTCTACCAGGATACACAGCAATTCACAAACTGCAGAACAAACCAAGTTGGGGGTGGTATTGCAATCTATTACTCTAACCAATTATCTTGTCTTAGCACCACTTGTTTTAGTGATGAATATGGGGAATACATTTTTGCTAATTTTACTGTAAAAACCTTAAGACGCCTATAACAATCTTTGCCATTTACCGGATACCTCACACAAACATCCCAAATTTCAGTGAGAAATTAAAGTCACTAATAACAAACAGACAAATAAAATAAGCACCACCTTCTCTTAGCTGGAGACTTCAACATCAAACCCTTGGCTTACTAGATATCAGCCTTTAACTGATTTCATCAACAATATGAAAAAAACACACTTCTCATACCAACAATAACTAAACCAACCAGGCTCACTGAGACAAGTGAAACCATAACAGACCACATACGGACCAATATACTAGCCCCTTAAATTCAGGGATAATCACAGATAGCACTACAGACCACTACCCTACCTTCCTCCTGACAAACATTAGTAAACCACCACTTGAATAAAACAAAGTCTCATTTAGACTCCATGACGAGGCCCCCAGAAAGGGAAGTTCACAGCTGACCTAGAGACTGTTGATTGGCCTACAGAATTCTCCAAGGGGCCAATGGGTATTGATGACTGGACAGACATTTTTTCTTAACAAATTACTTAGACTATACAACAAACATTGTCCTATAAAAACAAAACAGATCACAAACAAATGGCTTGGTTGCCCATGGCTAACCAGCACCATTCTGAAATCCATTGACAAAAAACACCAATATGAAAAGCAATATAGACAGGGCTTAATACACAAAGTTTACTCTTAAACACTATTCATCAGCTCTCACCAAAAGTAATAAAAAAAGCCAAAACAACTATATTTACTCCAGTAGTTTTTACAGACACTAGGGAGATATAAAAAAGACCTGGAAAACACTCTCTCAGATTTAGGGACCCACAAACAGAGAAAAACCAAAAAATATTGTCCTAACTAAACCTAATGAAACACCACTACCTCCACTGACACAGCTAACAAGATAAACGACTTCTTCTCAAACATAGATCTAATCTCGCCAGTAAAATCCCACATACCAATGCCCTGCCGGGGACTACCTAGATGGAAATTTCCCTAATTCCTTCTATCTTGCACCAATGAGCCCACGGAAGTCATTGAGATCATAAAGTCACTTAAAAATAACTCGGGGATCTGTCTCAGTCCCACCATTACGTACAAGCGAGCGGCCCCTGTCCTTTCGCATGCTATCTCATTACTTTTAACAAGTCAATAGAGGGCTAGCACCTTCCCGAAACTACTCAAGATGGCAAGGGTTACACCAATACATAAAGGTGGTGACCCTACAGACTTAAAACAACTATAGGCCAATATCTAACTTACCATTGCTATCCAAAATCTTTGAGAAACTCATTGCACAGGAGACTGTATTCATTTATAACGGCTCAAAACATACTCAACCCCTGCCAGTTTGGATTCAGGAAAAAATAAAAGTACTAATGATGCAATCATAAAAATGCTAGATCTGCTTTACACAGCATTGGAAAATAAGGAATATCCACTAGGAATTTTTATTGACCCAAGAAAAGCTTTTGACACAGTAAACCACGAAATCCTACTCCACAAACTTGACCACTACGGTATAAGAGGCCATGCGCTTGCTTATTTCAAATCTTACATTATAATAGGATCAGTACGTCACCATTAAAGACACAGCATCAGCAACCCCGACCACTTGATACTGGAGTTCCGCAGGGAAGTGTCCTTGGTCCCCTGCTCTTCCTCTATACATCAATGACCTTCCAAACGTATCCCAACAATGAAACCCATTCTCTTTGCTGATGACACGACTTATGTCATCCCCTCCACCCTAATCTTGCCACCCCCAACACCATTGTGAATGAGGAGCGATTAAAATATCGACTTGGATGACAGCCATAAAACTTACGCTTAACACTGACAAAACTTACTATATTATGTTTGGTAGCAGAGCAGGGGATGCACAAATTAACATTAAGATTTACAACACTCTAATTACCAAAATAAATGGGGGGAAAATTCCTAGGGTTATACCTTGACAACAACTGATTTCAGCACCCATATCCGCATATAGCCAAAAAAGTATCCAAAACGGTTTTGGGGTCCTCTCCAAGATTACGATACTACATGCCGCAAAATGCCCTTTTCACACTATACCACTCACTTATTTTTCCATACCTACCTATTTCTATTTGTGCTTGGGGATCAACTGCTGCAAACACACCCAAAGCCAAAAATAACCCAACAAAAAGCTGCAGCAAGAAAAAATCACTAAATCCCATCCCTGGCAGCACACCCCCCACTCTTTCAAAGATCTAAACTTACTCCCAGTTCAGTACATCCACACTTACTACTGTGCAATCTATATCTACAGGGGCCTTAAACTCTAATATCACCTTGACCTAAAATGCTTTCTTGATAGTTGTGACAGAACCCACAGGCATACACCAGAAACAAACACCTCTACGACATCCCGTGTCCGACTAAACCTTTTCAAAAATTCAATGTATGTCAAAGGCCCTAAAATCTGGAATACCCTACCTGAGAAAATCTAGAACTGCAGACACATTCATCACCTTCAAAAACTACCATTAGAAAACATCTTATCTCCCTGATACACCCCGTCAAAATAACTACACGAATACCACCTGGTGGGTTTACACTTACACTCGCTCACTCATTTGCCATAAACAGAAATATTAATCTCAGTCTTAAAATAATGAATCCAGTGATACTCCAAAACTGAAACTATATACTGTGCCAAACAAAAGCATTCACATTGCTAAACTCACAAACTAGTATTTAGTCACTTAGCCATAATACCAACTTACCTCATAATTTGTAATATTTTACAATTAAGAATAAAACTAAGTATGCCCGAAATGCCTAGCCATGCTAAGCATTCTAGTGGTACACTCTGTAATCACAATTTTACTACATGTAAAACCAAACAATAACCAAATTTCTGTAAACTCAGCATTGTAATCCTTATAGAGAATAAACTTTGAATTGAATTGAATTGAACCCATATCCAGCATATAACCAAAAAAGTATCCAAAACAGTTGGGATCCTCTCCAAGATACGATACTACGTGCCGCAAAATGCCCTTCTCACACTATACCACTCACTTATTTATCCATACCTCACCTATGCTATTTGTGCTTGGGGATCAACTGCAGCAACACACCTAAAGCCAATAATAACCCAACAAAAAGCTGCAGTAAGAATAATCACTAAATCCCATCCCTGGCAACACACCCCCCCCCACTCTTCATAGACCTAAACTTACTCCCCGTTCAGTACATCCACACTTACTACTGTGCAATCTACATCTACAGGGCCTTAAACTCTAATATCAACCTTGACCTAAACGCTTTCTTGATAGTTGTGACAGAACCCCCCAGGCATTTAAAACCAGACACAACATCTCTACGACATTCCCCGTGTCCGACTTAAAAAACCCTTTTCAAAAATTCAATGTATGTCAAAGGCCCTTAAAATCTGGAATACCCTACCTGAGAACTTAGAACTGCAGACACATTCATCACCTTTAAAACTACCATTAGAAAACATCTTAATCTCCCTGATCACCCTGTCAACTAACTACACGAAAACCACCTGGTGGTTCACACTTACACCCCACTGAAATCATTTGACCATAAACAGAAATATTAATCTCAATCTTAAAAATAATGAATCCTGTGATACCCAATGCTGAAACTATGTACTGTGCCAAAACAAAAAGCATTTACATTGCTAAACTCACAAACTAGTATTTAGTCACTTAGCCATAATACCAACTTACCTCATAATTTGTAATATTTTTACAATTAAGAATAAAACTAAGTCTGCCCGAAATGCCTAGCCATGCTAAGCGTTCTAGTGGTACACTCTGTAATCACTATTTTACTACATGTAAACCACACAATAACCAAATTTCTGTAAACTCAGCATTGTAATCCTTATAGAGAATAAACTTTGAATTTGAATTTGAATTTGAATTCATCTACAACTTTATTTTATTTCCTTGGATGACTATGATTCTGTTATAGATACTATATTACACCAATAACCTCTTTACTACACACACAAAAATAGCTTTACTACACCAATATGCGAGCACATACATTGTCATTGCGATGTTGTTTTAAAATATTAATACTTCTACTAGGTCTGAGGCAAATTTTTCCCTGAATTCAAAATACATAAATGCTCTCCTGATTTGGATGTTTAGAAATATTTTTGGTATAGTATAATATGGACAGATAAGTGACCTATCAAATTTTCCCCATCCAACTTTTGTATATCAATATACGCTTTCATTCAGTTGTTGGAACACAACCCCACTGTAAGTCTAGGAGCATCTGTACATGCTTAGTTATCCATTACTATATTCTGCACAAATTACTGGTAACAAAATTTTTTAAAGCTTTACCTATTTCTAATAGATCATTCTCCAAAGGCTTAGTCAAAATTCCAAAAATACATGGTATTCTACTTACACTCTGGTCGCATGCCAACATTGAGACATTTCTTTAAGCGACATTCTTGACATTTGCGTCTCATGTACATGTCCATTTCACAGTTGTTGCCATATTTACACTGATAGACTGCATTCTTAGTGATAGATCTCCTGAAGAAACCTGAGGAAAAGAGATGCTGTTATAGGAATGTATGATAAAAACCTGTACGAGTATAATACAAAATTTTATGTACCTACCTGGAGTCTACCTCGAGGGTGTTTCTGGGGTCAACGTCCCTGCAGCCTAGTCCTTGACCAGGGCTCCCAGTGTATCAGAGCCTGATCAACTAGGCCGTTCAGATGGCTGCACGTATTCCAACGTATGAGCCACAGCCTGGCTGATTAGGGTATAAGGGGAATTACCGATAGACCCCCTAGCTGCCTTCAACAGGTATCTGTCCAGTTCCCTCTTGACAGCAGCTATGGGGTCAATCAGTAATTCCCCTTATGCCCGGTGGGAGGCTGTTGAAAAGTCTTTGTGTTTTCTCTTAGTGTACTAATAGTGCCCTTACTTTTCAATGGGGGAGTGATTTCTGTGTGCAGATTTGGGACCAGTCCCTCTAGGATTTTCCTGGTGTAGATTAAGATGTACCTCTCTCACTTGTGTTCTAGCGAACCCAGGTCAAGTGACTCCAAGCATTCCCAGTTCATAATTAAGGTTTTTGACGAAACTTATGTGTGCAGCAAAAGTTCTCTGTACATTCTCTAGATCTAGTATTTTACCTGCCCTAAATGGAGCTATTAGTGCACAGCAGTAATCCAGCCTACGGAGAACAAGAGATTAAATAATGCATTCTCAAAAATCACTTAACCCATACTGGCAATTTTGGGATGTAATACGTTTCAGATATGTACATATGATTATGGCAAGTGTAATCACATTTTTATTTGGATTTAGGTAGAAAACCTAAAAAAAGTTACCAAGATATTGAGGGCACACAGATGTTATAAGAACATAGAGAGTGGAGCACACACACATATACTGTACAGTGGTACCTCGAGTTTTGAACAGCTCCCAACTTGAACAATTATGTAAGTGTATTTTTGAAAGTGCTTTTGTAAGTGTATTTTTGGGGGTCTGAAATGGACTAATCTAATTTAAATTATTCTTTATGAGAGCAAATTCATTCGGTATCGGCACTTGAACAGCCTTCTGGAACGAATTAAGCTCGTACCTCGAGTTGTGCGTGCATGCATGTGTGTGTGTGTGTGTGTGTGTATAAATATATTATATATATATATATATATATATATATAATATAAAATATATATTATATTATATATATATAATTTATAAAAATATATATATATATATATATACAGTGGTCCTCGATTATCGACGGTTTAAACCGTTCCTGGAAAGCCGGTTCGATTATCGAAATGGCGATTTACGAATCAATTTTCCCCATAAGAAATAATGTAAATTCAATTAATCCGTTCCTGACACCCAGAAGTATTAAAACAAAAAATTTTTTACATGAAATATTCATGTAGTACATAAACAAAACAATGGGAAATGATGAATGAAACATTAACAGCATAACACTTACCTTTATTGGAGGATTCTTCTTAGTGTATGGGAGACTGGGGGAGAGGGGAGAGAGTGGATTGTTTATAGTTTGGAAGGGGAATCCCCTTCCAGCAACACCTCAGGGACCATTTGCTTTTTTGGGGTTGCTTCTTTTCTCTGTTTCTTAATGCCACTAGGACCAGCCTTGAGAGTCCTGGAGTCCTGTCTCGCAAAATAACTGTGCAGAGAGCTCGGTTTTTTGGCGTCTCTTTAAAACTTCCCTAAAAGGGCCAAGACTCTGTCACTGTACAAGTTGCCGATATGGCTTGCAACTCCTTCTCTGGGTGATGTTTCTCCATAAATCTTCCATCTTACCCCCACATAGTAAAAAATCTCCTTAATTTCTGAAGAAGGCACCTTCTTCCATCTCTCTTCCTCCTCCTCTGCAGCAAAATTCTGAGCTGCGATCTGTTGCTCTTCCTGCTGAAGCTCTTGCAGCTCCTCAGTGGTTAGCTCTTCGTTGTGGTCCTCACCAAACTTCCACATCCTCCAAAACTCACATCCAACCCCCTGGAACTCCCCAGTGCCACAATAGAGTTCAAAACTGACATAGGCTCATCAGGGTCAGCCCCAAAACCCTTCCAAATCCCTCTTGTCGACACAATCTGGCCACAATTTTCTCCAAGCAGAGTTTTAAAGTCCTGGTAGACACTCCCTCCCAAGCCTTACCTATAAGGCTTACACAATGGAAAATACTGAAATGTTCTTTCCAAAAATCTCGTAGGGTCAAGTGAGTGTCTGAGGTCACATTGAAGCACCTTTCAAACATTGCTTTGGTGTACAGTTTTTTAAAGTTTGCAATGACCTGCTGGTCCATGGGTTGGAGGAGAGGAGTGGTATTCGGGGGCAAGAACTTTACTGAGATGAACCCAAACTCCTTCAGAATTAGGTCATCCAAGTTTGGTGGATGAGCAGGTGCATTGTCCATTACTAGCAGGCACTTGAGAAGAAATTGGATCTCCAGGAGGTAATTCTTCACACTACTGCCAAACACTTCGTAGAACCACTCTACAAAAATTTCCCTCGTGACCCATGCCTTATTATTAGATTTCCAAAACACACACAATTTACTCTTCATAACATTATTTTTCTTAAATGCTCTGGGATTTTCAGAATGGTACACTAGTAACGGCTTCACTTTGAAATCCCCACTAGCATTAGCACAGAACATTAGCGTCAGCCTGTCTTTCATAGGCTTGTGTCCTGGCATTGACTTTTCCTCTTGTGTAATAAAGGGTCCTCTTTGGCATTTTTCTTCAGAAGAGGCCTGTTTCGTCACAATTGAACACTTGTTCAGTTTCAGTCCTTCAGCCTCTATGTACTCCTGGTTTCATGCACATATTTTTCAGCCGCCTTGTGGTCCGAACTGGCAGCCTCACCATGCCTTACCACACTGTGTAATGCCAGTACGTTTTCTTAAATCTCTCAAACCACCCCTTTGCTGGCCTTAAAATCACTCACTTCACCACTATTTGCAGGCAATTTATTTACCAAATCTTCATGCAACTGCCTAGCCTTTTCACAAATAATCAAGGTCATAAGACTGTCTCCTGCTAATTGTTTTATTTATCCACCCCAATAATAACTTCTCAACTCTTCCAGTACTGGTGATCTCATTTTTGTCAGCATTTTTTACCCCCTTTGCAACAACAGCGTCCTTGATTTCCTTTCTCATGGCTAGATGGAAGATAGGGTTTTAAAATGTTTTTTGTTATACATCCTCGCCAGTTCGCCCACACGTACGCCACTATCATATTGTTCAATGATGTTTTTCTTAAAATTCAATGGTATTTCTCACCTTCTTTACCAAAGGTTTGCACTAGGAGCTTTCTTTGGAGCCTGGTAGCTTTTTTTAGCACTTAAATAACTTGAAAGCACTAAAATAAATGAAATATTATGAAATATTTCACTGGAGCACGTGAGAGGACTGCCGCTAAAAGGGTAAACAAGGGCCCACCTGGCGGGGAAGGAAGGTGAGGCGGGTCGAGGCCCGCTTACCTCGTGCATACGCGTCTGGGACGACGGGTCGAGACGGGTCGATAAACGAATTTCGGTCAATTTCCGAGTCAATATTTTGTCGAAAAAGCCGGTTGATTTCCGAAATGGTCGACTTTCAGGCCGGTCGTTTATTGAGGGACCACTGATATATATTATATATATATTATATATATATATATATATATATATACAGTGGACCCCCGCTTAACGATCACCTCCGAATGCGACCCAATTATGTAAGGGGTATTTATGTAAGTGCGTTTGTACGTGTATGTTTGGGGGTCTGAAATGGACTAATCTACTTCACAATATTCCTTAGGGGAAACAAATTGGTCAGTACTGGCACCTGAACATACTTTGGAGTGAAAAAAATATGGGTTAACCGGGTCCACTGTATATATATATATATATATATATATATATATATTATAAAATATATATATATATTATATATATATATAATATATATATAAAATATATATATATATATATATATATACATATATATATATATATATACAGTGGACCCCCGGTTAACGATTTTAATCCGTGCAAGAGGGGTAATTGTTATGCGAAATAATCGTTATGTGAATGAATTTTCCCCATAAGAAATAATGGAAATAAAAATTAATCCGTGGCAAGACACCCAAAGTATGAAAAAAAAATTTTTTTACCACATGAAATATTAATTTTAATACACACAAACTGAAAAAGGCATGCACCTTACATGACACTTACTTTTATTGAAGATCGGGTGATGATTGATGGGATGGGAGGAGGGGAGAGCATTATCTTCTTACTGTTTAGAAGGGAAATCCCCTTCCATTACGACTTGAGGTAGCAAGTCCTTTTCCGGGGTTACTTCCCTTTTTCTTTTAATGCCACTAGGACCAGCTTGAAGTCACTGGACCTCTGTCGCACAAACAAATCTGTCCATAGAGCTCTGTACCTCCCGTTCCTTTACGATTTGTCTAAAATGGGCCACAACATTGTCATTGAAATAGTCACCACACGGCTTGCAACAGCTGTGTCAGGGTGATTTTCATCCATAAAGGTTTGCAGTTCAACCCACTGTGCACACATTTCCTTAAATTTTTTAAATAGGCACAATGGATTCCCCCAACTGGCATAGGCTTCTCAGGGTTAGCCCCAAAAACCCCTTTAAAATCTTTCTTAATTTCCATACTAATTCCACCCTTTTTACCCCAGGGTTGGCACTAGAAGCTTTCTTGGGGCCCATGGTCACTTATTTTCCAGAAACAGCACCGAAAACACTGTAATAATACGAAATATTCCGAGGTGTATGCTTGGATGTTACCGCGGGGCTGGCTGGTAAACAATGGACGGGCGGCACATGTGAGGCTGGCTGAGGGCACATTTGGGCGGTCTCGGACGAAAATCGTGTGAGCGGGTTTTTAATCGGTATGCGCGGCAAAAATTTTGCGATAAAAGTAAGCGGTATGGCGGAAAAATCGCTATGTGATGCCATCGTTATGCCGGGGTCCACTGTATATATATATATTAATATATATATATATATATATATATATTATAAAAATATATATATATATATAATATATATAATATATATAATATATATAAAAATATATATATATATATATATATATTAAAC